GCTCCGACGGCCTTTATTCTTTCCGTTTTTTTACTTCCGACTCCATAATAAACATAAATAACTTTTCCCGTATCCAAAATAAAACAATCACCTTTGTTCATTGATTTCGATGATGGTTCTACCTGTTTGATTCTCGCGTCTTTTTTGCCCTTGACTTGATACAATCTTTTGATACCATCGGTTTCATTTGGCGTGACGTGTGTGAATCCACTTTTAACCCCACCGGTAAGGTACCTGATTGCTGCGGATGCATAAAAATATACTCATTAAACAATTTTAACAATTCATTCGGAAATGAGGTAAAAAAAAAAATCAACTTACGACCGGAAAAATAAGACGTGAAAAGTTGTGATTCGTGTCCTTGAGTTTCTCTATGTTGAACCGGAGCGCCACCGAGAGAATCATCTAATTCCACGGCCAAAATGGCAGCCGATCCAGATTCATCTTGAGTTGTTTTATCACCCAGCCAAAAATGTATATCCCAACTGAATTTACCTTTGGATTCTTTTGTTTTTAAAACAATGTAAGAATCTCCTTCGTAAAATTTTCCAAATTGACGACGTTCCACAGGTACGGGTGCAAAGTTCTACAAAAAATAATAATAATAATAATTTATTAAAAAAATAAAATAATAATAATAATAGTTATAATTAAAATCCAATACAAACTTCTATTCTCCATATTTCCAAACCGGCTTTTTTACCAGCATTGGCAAAAACGTTAGCCGCTTGTTGTCTATTTACTGGTAAATCGTTTTGGGACGACGAGGTTGTCGACTCTTTATTTTTAACCGGACTTCGTGATCTGTCACGTTGAGTTTGTAATGTTGCCGCATTGATAACAGACACGAAACAACATAATCCTATTATAAACAATCTCAAATCCGCCATGTTTTTTTTTTTTTTACCTTCTATCTGAAACAAAAGAAAAAAATAATCTGTGAATATTAAATTAAATTTTCGTGTCATATTATTACATTATACAAGGTTTCGTGTTTTTTACAATGAACGAATAAAACAATGTCAATGTTAATAATAATAATAATAATGATAATAATTTTATAAATTCATTGTAAAACGCATGAATTAATCATATACGTACACATTATTTACCATTTTCCGTTAAAAATAAATAAAAAACGTTAAAACAAAGTAGTAGAATCGATCAATTTTTTACATAATGTATAATAAATAATTATTTAGAATTAATAATTAACTATTAAATCGAAAAAAAAAAAAAAATTTTCTTTTTTTTTAAATACTTAAAACATAATTTTTTCCCACTTTTGAAGTCGTATAAAAACTTATTTAAATATACAATAAATAAAAATAAATATAAAATAATAATATAAATATTATTTAACATGATAGAAAAACTTACCAATAAGAAAAAAAAAAAATTTTCGTCCGCTTTCGTTAACAAACTGATTGGAAATGAAGAGGAAAAGTTTTTGTCCAATTAAATATTCTTACAAACAACTTAGTTACTACTACTACTACTACTACTACAACTAAAACTGTATTTTTATTTATTATTATAAATAATAAATTTAAATAAAAAAAAAAAAAAAAATTATCATTTATATATAATCATAATTGATACATAGAAATGATTTCATTTCATTATAATAATATAAATTTCATTATAATTTTTTAATATAAATAAATAATTTTTTTTTTAAAAATTTGATGGGTTTTTTTTATTTATTTATTTATTAATAAGAATTTTTTTATCTATTTATTTTTTTTTGTGTGTTCGTAAGCAAATTATTATTATTATTCGTAACGAAAAAAAAATAATAATAATAAATTTTGTACTTTTTTTTTTAATTATATTATTATTATTATTTTTTTATTGATATTTATATACTGAATAATGCGAATAATTACTTTTTTTTTTTTTTCAATAAATTATTTACATAATTTTTTCTTTGTTTATTTAATTAATTTTTTTTTTTAATAAATTCAGGTACGATAAATAATTTTATAAATAATTAATTATAATTAATAATAAATGGCGGCTAAAATTTTGTAAATAATAAGTTGAAATATTCAAAAATTATGTATTTACTTATTTTTACCCAAAATATTATTATTATTATGTATCAATTTACCTTTGACCTATAAAATTATATATGTTTGATAAAATCAGTAAAAAAAAAAACTTTTTTTTTTTTGTGTGTTTATTTTTACAAAAATTTTTTTTTGATCGACCTTATTTATTAATTAATTAATTAATTATTTATAAAATTTATTAATTTATCGATTGAAAAAATATCTTACATAAAAAAAATAATAATTAATTATTATTATTTTTGTCGAGTAAATAATTTATTAAAAAATTTAAAGAATTATGTGAGTGTATTATCCTGCGAATAATATTAGTTAAAATGAAGGAGGGAGGGAGGGGGAAAAAATTGTTTATTATTATTTTAAAGTAATAATAATAATAATAATTGGATGTCAAAAGATCAAATGTTTAATGTTATCAAAGCGGACGTTATTATTACGTACTTGAAAATTTTTTTACTCATAATAAATAAATTATTAGAAAAAAAAAATAATAATAATAATAATAATTATCGACGCACGACACATACAGAGAAATTAAAAAAAAATAATTTTTATAAATAATAAATTATTGCTAACAAAAAAATTTTATTTAAACGTCCAATTTTTTTTTTTTTAATGTTAAAATTCACAAATTTTTTGTCGATTTTGATATTAAATTAATTTATTAATTTCAAACCGATAATAATAATATTAAAAAGTTGTGGGGCAAGTTATCTGAAAAACAACTTTAACCTACTTTCATTCGAATTAATTAAATATAATAATATCACCGCCATTATTATTATTATTATTATTATGTTTTACATAATTTAAAAAATATAAAACGTTAAAAAGGGGGATTATTTAACAGTTTAGAAAATATTTAATTATTTAATTTGAATAAATCTAAAACTTTCCAAAAAATAATTTTTTAAACCAATTTCCCTTTTGATTTCAGTTAAAAACCAGTAATAAAAATAAAATTTAATTTTTATTTATTTAGAAAGTTTAAATGATAATATTTGAAAAACCCTTTCTATCTAATTTTTAAAAAAAACTAATGAAAAATAATAAAATTATATTAATGACCAGATTAAAATTAGTTTATTACAATTAATTATATTTAGTAATTAAAGATTTTACATGCACACGACGTGTAGCCGTAATAAAATAATTCCTGCGTCGATGGTATTGTATGGTACCTATTATGATAAAATATAAGAGAATTAAATTTGAAAAAAACCATTAACTAAGAATTAACAAAATATTTGGCTGCTTCAATTTCTTCATGACTCGGATGACTGAATGCTGAAATTATTTTATCCATATTAATAGCATATAATGTATGAGAAGGTATGGTTGATTTGTGAATCTGAAAAATAATGATAAATTATTATTAAATACTAAAACTCATTTAATGCATTACAATTAAATAGTTTTTTAAATAAATGTCTTTCTTTAATATGATTATTTACCTGTAATGCTTGAAATACTTCATATGCAGATACAGGTGGCTTCGATTGAGCTTCTAAATTTGGATTCGAGCATGCAAGATGGTACATTTCTCTCCTTTCGATTTCTTCTTCAGTTAAAGGAATTTTAGGAACGTGAATATTTTCATCATCCTCAATAATATCTGTCATATTACTGGAAAATTATTTAATTTTTATGAGTTATTGTTTCCAATTACAAAAACATTAAAAAAATAAAACTACATATTGTTTAAAACCTATGTAAAGAATTATCGACTAATCCATTGTAATTTCTCAACCATGGATTTGGAACTGGACAACCTAGAGAATAAATAAATTTATTTTCTCTTAATTTATATCCATTTCTTTGAGCTAATATTATTGTTAATAAATTCTTCAGAAAGTACTGCAAAAAAATAAATTTAAAATTAAAAAATAAAAATGAAATGAAATAAATTAAAAGAAAAAAAATTTGATAACGAAATACCTGGACGGCATGAACTAAAATTTCAGCAGCACTGTCTTCTGCTCCTTCCATACCCATTTCCCATGATGTTAACATTAATCTACCCAATATTAGTGAATGATCAGGTAAAAATAATTCTTGAACACAATATCTTTGCGGTTCATCTTGTAAATGCTGCGGAGGAGATTCCAGCTGAGGTAAATAATTAACTGGATCTGCCAACTGTAAAGAAAAAAATTTTTTTTATTATTTATTCATAAATAAATGTTTAATTTAAAGAGTCACATTAGTAGTTGTACCTGAAAAGCACTTTTATCTCCACTTTTTTTAGATTTATTCATTTTCAATTTTTTAAAATCTCTTAATTTTGTTTTAGATGTAGCTTTGGAAAGTCCATTGCATTTGTTAAATAAACACAGAAGAAAAACATTATGTAAGTGAGCCTGATCAGAATTCATCATTCTTCTAGCCTCAGAATCAAACTCTTCTTTTGTAACCTGAAATTACAGCATAAATAAAAAAATAATTATTAATATTATATATTACATTGAAATTTTAATTTATCACAATTTAATAATAATTTTTAAAAAATTATATTTTTAATAGCTTACCTTCATTGAAAACCATAATTTCATAAGCTGACAGTACCTATTAATAAAAAAAAAAAGTTTTGTAAATAAGTTTAAACTTTTATAAGGTTAAAAAACCGTTTTAATATTATATAAATGACAGACACATACTTTTTTGCATTATTTCCTAAAGATCCAAACAATTGCTTACGAGCAGTATTCAAATCTTCGCAATATGACATTTCTATATTTAAAAAAATTAAATCAAAATCAACAAATACAATTCATACTCCCAAAACAGTTAACTCTGAGATTACTTTTTTGCGGTTATTTTAGCAAAATTTGCTTCGAGCAAGAAGCCCGATTAGAATCAAAACATTTCTAATTAAGTTCGGTTAGGAACCAGTAAAGGTTTATTTCATAGAAAAAAATGAAAATTGCTGTCGTAGGATGTGCGCACGGAGAACTAGATATTATATATGAAACAACTGAATATTTGGAAAAGGAAAACGACATAAATATTGATTTAATTCTTTGCTGTGGAGATTTTCAAGCTACTAGAAATCTCGAAGATTTAAAGTGTTTAGCTGCTCCGCCAAAATATAGAAGTTTATGTACTTTTTACAAGTAAATAAATTTTTATTTTTTGTTATAAACGTTTTTATAACGTGTAATATTTTGATGACTTTTAAATTTAGATATTATTCTGGGGAAAAATTAGCACCGAAATTGACAATTTTTGTCGGAGGGAATCATGAAGCGTCCAATTATTTACAGGAACTACCTTACGGCGGTTGGGTAGCGCCAAATATTTACTACCTTGGATATGCAGGAGTAGTCAATATAGCTGGTATACGAATTGCAGGATTATCTGGAATATTTAAAGGCACAGATTTTGCTAAGGGTAGATATGAAAAACCACCTTATGATAATGAATCATTAAGAAGTTGTTATCACATTAGAAATTTAGATGTATTTAGGCTCAAACAGGTTAATATTAGGTTTTTTTTTTATATAAAAACAATCTTATTCCGGCAAAGTTATTACTAAATGTTCAAGAAAACTTTTTTTTAGTTGTCTTCTCCTATCCATATAATGTTATCGCATGATTGGCCTGCTAATGTAATCAATCATGGAAACACCAAACAATTATTAAAAAATAAACCTTATTTTAAAGAAGATATAGAGAAAGATAATCTTGGAAGTAAACCTACGGCTGAATTACTTGAAATAATAAAACCAAACTATTGGTTTGCCGCTCATTTACATGTGAAATTTGCTGCGATTGTCAAACATAACGACGATGTAATAATAAAATTTTTTTAACTGTAAATATATATATACAATACATTTATTTTATAATTTAAAAAAATTTTAGGAAAATACATCTACAAAATTTTTAGCTCTTGATAAATGTCTTCCAAGAAGAAAATTTTTACAAGTTGTGGATATTCCACATGATGAAAAAAGCGAAATGGTTTTGAAATACGATTTAGAATGGTTAACAATACTCAATTCGACAAATCATTTATTAAGTATTAAAAAATTAAATTCTTACTTACCAGGACCAGGATCTAAAGAAAGGTATAAGAAACAAAAAAAAGAAACCTTTAAAAAAGAATTCAGTGTGAAATAATTTTGGTTTTGTTGACATAGGTGGAAATTTACTCCTACGGAAGAAGACATGAATGTCGTAATGAAAAAATTTAACAACGATTTAACTATTCCTAAAAATTTTGCTCAAACTGCAGAACCTCACAATCCTAATTGTGATGCTGAATCATGTGCAAATATAAAAATTAATTCTCAAACTGTGGAATTTTGTCAGAAAATATGTAAGGAACAACAGAAAAATACAAAAAAAATTTTTTTTTATACCGGAATTAATTTGAAAAAAAAATAATTTAAATTTTTAGGTGTAGACGATCCGATAGCACTAATTCAAAATGACGGTTTTATCAATAAAAGTTCTAATTTAAGCATATCAAATAATTTCGAAAGTAGTTCATTTATAAACGATACGGATTTGGAAACGTCATCTCAAAATAATTCAATAACAATGGAAAATCAAAAAAGCATAATTAGAACTCCTCTTAAACTTCCGGTTCCCACAAATAAGGAAACCGATATAAAAAAGGAAAATTTTCTCACATCGACTCCAGTAAATAAAAATGATAATAATAAAAAAATATCGATAACGGAAAAAGATGAAATGTTCGAATCAAAAATCGTTATTCAACAACAACAACAACAAGAAGAAGAATCAGATAAAAATGATAACAGTAAAAAAATTTTTTTTTTAATAACAAATTTCCATAAAGTAAATAATAATAATAATAATAATAATAATAAAATTATT